TCCGTAGGTGCCGCACCGGGCTCTCCCATCGCTCAGACCACGGATAAAGGCGTGTGATAGGCGAGTATCTTCCAGGTGCGATTTCATGAAAGCGCCGGAAAATAGAGTTTGAGTGATTACCCGGCTGCGCACTCCGGTGCATAGGCGTCGGACCGGGATCCCATCCTACCACGCGCCACTATGAAAGGCGTGTATGGAGGCGGTTTGTTCGGCCGCCGCACACAGGTACAGCGCAGAAATCTGAGTTTAAAAAAGTCATTGGTCACCTTCGGCAGGGGTATGTTGTGTAGTTGGCTTCGAGGACCGATCGGGAGAGAGAAGTAGCATTTGTTTTCTCTATTCATAATTCGAAGTTATAATTGTAATGGAAATAATTAGACTTGCGAATAATAAATAAACTTATAATTACACAACTGTAATTATATCGATCATCAATAATAATTAATTATCAAATTAGAAATAAGTAGTTTTAATTAATTTTAAGGTTAATTATATTAATTATTAATAATATTAATACTATAATAATATTAAAAATTAATTAATTTTATTTTAAATTAAAATAATCATTATTTAAGATAATATTAAATATAATTAATATTTAATCATAATTTATTGTTTAATATAATGTAATTATTTTATATAAACCCCTTCCCGATCAAAAATGTGTAAACTTCCATGATCGGACGAAGGGCCAGCGGTGTCGAAGGAGGGAGAATGGCTCGGGTAAGGCTAGGAAATTACGCTCTCACTCTCTCTCTCTGGACAGGAGGACGGAGGTGGGAGAGGGGTTCGGGATATGAGGGCAGTCGGCGGCCTTGGTGGGAGGTCGGAGAGGAAGAGAGGGAGCTTGCTTGCGATCGTGGAAGAGAGGAGCGTGGGTGTCCCCGAAGGCTTGAGCTCGTCTCACCTACTATTTAGACGCAAAAGGCAATGAGGAGGCGATCGTAGGCTCTGGAACACAGGAATCCCGGGACGGATGCCGATGCACAGCGATACGGTCGGGATTTCGGGCAGAGTTTTACGGGTTCATTCGACGAGACGAAGATTAGTATGAGCAGGATTTCGGGGACTTGAACAGGTATATTCGCTATATTTGCTACATATATGTAATATATATATATAATTATATATATTATTCATTCTTATATATTTGAAGTACACAGAGAAAGTCGTCTTTAATATCTGACATATGCATAGAGTGACCACAAATATTCAGACATAGTATGCGGTCTCCGTGTAGTATTTGGAAGAGCCCGTGAAAAAAAAAGTCCGATTTGCTAATGTCTAGAAATCACATAGCTAAGATATAGGTAGTCATATTCATCAAAGAGAGGCGGGGTCACTTATAAGTACCCCCAAGCGGGGGGAAAGCAAATTGTCTTTTAAACAGGTACCGTCAAAGACCCCATACACGCCTTTATTGCGCGTGGTGGGAAGAAAGATCACGGCCGCGGTGTCCTTGTCCGAGGACACCTACCATACACGCCTTTATTGCGCGTGATGGGAAAGGCCCAATTTTATCGTAGTTTTCCCGTAAACGGGGGAGACGTCGGGAGGCTGTTGGAATTTCGGATGAACACGAGGCCGTACCTGAACTTGATTGAACAAAAATGGGACTTGTACATGGACTCATTTGAACTCAAAAGACATTAATAAAAGGCTTAATTCAAACTCAAATAAAATTGAAAAGAACAAAGAACTTGAACAAGACTCAAACCACAAAGAAC